GCAGTCGTGTTGTCAGCAGCCAAGCAATAACTGTCAAAGTGGGCCCTTCTTGGAGTAAACTCTTTCTTTAATCTTCTTATTCTTTACTTCCTATACCTCTTCTACTACTTCTTATACCAGGAGCGGCGTAAGGCCGTATGGGACCCGGGATCGGAGAATGTTACCGAAGAGGAAAATGTGAACAGCGATAAGTGGAACTCTCGGGCAGGTGGGCTCTGGGAGATCAGGGACCTTCAGTGGATGGGGCTCTCGGTCCAGGGTAGTGACTTGCCCCGCTCTCCGGGGTAGTGCGCCTTTGCATCTGACACTATCAGAAGCTTTTCTATCGACACGTGCTTTAGAAGCGCGATTGGCCTTTAAACGTCATTTATGTCAGCCCATCGTTTTGGGGAAAAAGGAAACTAATGATTCCTGAATATGCAAAATAAATTGGCTAATACAGCAGTTGATTACAAGGCAGGTTATGCAGTGTTTATAACAATTTAATTAGCGATTATACTCGTATGTGCCACTTCAGATATATCGTCATTCAACACTATCCGTTAGAAGAGATTTATGTGAGATCACTAATACTGAGTACGAGTAAAATACTTTAGGAAACTTATCAAAAGAGAAGTTTTAACTAAGGGATAGTTAGAGAAAAGTATCCTTATTTACATTCCAAACATTCAACAACTCATTTTCACCTGCCGGTCCGCAGGCACTAGATGAATTACTACACTATTCAGCTGAAAATGTCTTACTTGTTTCCATAAGAAGTGAATTTTTTTAAATCCTATTTTGTGGGAATCTGCGAGGAAAGATAGGTATCTTTTACACTACAAATAATTCTATTTCATGAAATATCTGCAACAAAACGAATATCGGGATAAATAATTAACTCTGAGGTCTTCTACAGGTGGTGGTGGTGGTGGGGGGGCGGAATCCTGAAGTCTATTTCTTTTGCCTGAAACGCCAATGGTGTCTTAAGGCAATACGAGGCTCAGAACCGATGAGTATGATAGAGGCTCCTTTCTGAAGATAAGAGTCCAATACTTCAGTAGGTGCGGCCGGGCGAGGGTTGGGGGAACTGTCCTCTCTCTGAAGGGCGCTTTACACGCTCGCGAACCAGGCCTGTGCAGGTTGTCTGTGCATCTTTTCCCCGTCGTGCGAACAATGAAGCATGTTGGAGATACGAATGGTTCACAACCGGCGCGGGGCAGGCCGGCACGCACCTGAAAGCGGCTCCACACATTCGCTATTCGGCGAGTAGCGCTCGCCGAATCCCAAGTAATGCGGATGAGTTGCTTGCTATTTGCCGAGTGACGAACATTCGGTGCTCGCCTTTCCCACTGTATGTCGGTCTATATGATCCATCAAAGGAAGCGAACATTCGTCGAGCACATCAGCTGCTCGGGATTGAGAGAATAGTTGCTCTCTGCTCAGCGAATGTCGAATGTGTGGGGCTGCCTTTAGATACTTAGTTTATCACCGGCATTGATGTCATTGTCCTAATGAAAAACATCCGGGTACCTTTTGACAGAACATTTAGAGATCGAGAGGCATGTGTCCGAGTCCAGATGCAGTGTATCACAGCTGTAACGTATCCTACTGGTGGGAGATACTTGGTGGGGGGAAACCCTGCTAGGCC